GTGGCTCACGCCTGTAATTCCAGCACTTTGGGAGGCTGAGGCAGGCACATCACCTGAGGTCAGGCGTTCAAGACCAGCCTGGCCAACATGATGAAACCCCGTCTCTCATATAAATTTAAAAAATAGCCAGGCGTAATGGTGCGTGCCTTTAGTCCCAGCTGCTTGGGAGGCTGAGGCAGGAGAATCGCTTCAACACAGGAGGCAGAGGTTGTAGAGAGCCAAGATTGTGCCATTGTACTCCATCCTGGGCAACAGAGTGAGACCCTGTCTCAAAAAATAATAATAAAATACACATGTATTACTCTTGAGGGAAGAAATGTTTGCAAAAATTCCTTCTAAAATGCCCCCTCCACACCTAAAATGCATTCTCTTATCAAACTAGCTAGATTGTTACCTCTCAAAGAGCAAGTGTCTCAGGAAATGAGACAGTGAGTTAATTTGGGTTGGAGCCAGTGGCGGAAAACGGGCAGTCAGCATGTCTCCAGTTGCCTACAGAGACAGACTTGAGAAATTTTACCTACTGTCCGAGTATGCTGAGAGCTGACTGCTGCACACAAAGCAACGAGAAATGCATGTTTCTTGGCCTCCCCATCTCCATCGGCTCCCTTTGCCTACTGCCCAGACTTGCTTCGATGCCCTCTCCGCTGCCAACATCTCCCTTGGGTGTTTTCTCTCCTCACCTGGGCATGTCCAAGGCCAATCCTCCAGCAACCTCTCAGATTATCTCCTTGTGACCCAGTTTTCCTCCCTGCTGGCAATTCAAACAGGGTTGTCTTGAAGCCTATTTGTTAACAGGCATCTGTGCTCTTTCTCTCTAGAAGTGTGTTTCTAGCCAAGAAAATAGAGGCTCCCCAACCAGCACTGACTATGTGGTAACGTTACACCTTCCAGTCCCAGCTTTTCTGCTCATTTACTCAAATACCACCAAAATTATCAAAACTGTTTATGCATCTTTTTACCAATTATTCTGTCTCCTCCCCAAGTTATGTTTGACTTCAATACTCTTTTATTTTGAGACAGAGATTCACTCTTATTGCTCAGTCTAGAGTGCAACAGCACGATCTTGGCTCACCACAACCTCCACCTCCCGGGTTCAAGTGATTCTCCTGCCTCAGCCTCCCGAGTAGCTGGGATTACAGGCATGCACCATCACGCCCAGCTAATTTTTTTTTTTTTTTTTTTTTTAAGCAGAGTTTTCTCCATGTTGGTCAGGCTGGTCTCGAGCTCCCAACCTAGGGTGATCCACCCACCTCAATCTCCCAAAGTGCTGGGGACTCCAATAATTCTTAAAATCTACTCAGCTTCGCGCCTGGCGCGGTGGCTCATGCCTGTAATCCCAGCACTTTGGGAGGCTGAGGGGCGTGGATCACGAGGTCAGGAGCTCAAGACCAGCCTGGCCAACATGGCAAAACCCCTGTCTCTACTAAAAATACAAAGAAATAAGCAGGGCACAGTGGCAGGTGCCTGTAATCCCAGCTGCTCGGGAGGCTGAGGCAGGAGAATCACTTGAACCAGGGCGACAGAGGTTGCAGTGAGCCAAGATCGCACCAGTGCACTCCAGCCTGGGTGACAGAGTGAGACTCTGTCTCAAAAAAATAAAATTAAATTTAAAAACCTAGTCAGCTTCACCCTATGCTATACTGAAAGAATAGTTTCTTTTTGATGCAGCTATTTGCCACCATGGTAATTTCTTATCAAATATTATGAGTGTTTTGGGGATGGCTGGGAGGGGAAGTGTGCAATGTATGATTAGGGACCATTCCTTTTGACCCATATTAATTTTTACAGCCTTTTCTCCCTTTCTATTCAGGCTAAATGTACATTTATGCAAATTGTACGTAATATTTTGCAGTATCCCCAAATCCCAGCTCAATATTGGCCAAGGCCAACCCAACTTATGCCAACTTATGCCAAACCAGGAAGAATTGTGGTTTGGAAATGTTACTCAGCTACAGCCAGGAAAAAATAACAACTGGCTGGGCATGGTGGTTTACGCCTAAAATCCTAGCACTTTGGGAGGCTGAGGCGGGCAGATTTGCCTGAGCCTCAGCCTGGTCAACATGGTAAAAAGTTATCTCTCTCAAAAATACATAAATCTGCCAGGAGTGTTGGTGGGCACCTATAATCCCAGCTACCTAGGAGTCTGAGGCAGGGGAATTACTTGAACCCAGGGACGGGGGCGGCTGCATTACCAGCCTGGGCGAAAGAGCAAAATTCCATCTCAAAAAAAAATAATAAATAACAACTGTCACCGGGTAGCTGCTGAGTCTGCTTTGCCTAACATATGCATAGCACTTTGCAATTTACAAAGAGCTTTTTTTTTTTGAGACGGAGTTTTGCTCTTGTTACTCAGGCTGGAGTGCAATGGCGGGATCTCGGCTCACCGCAACCTCCGCCTCCTGGGTTCAGGCAATTCTCCTGCCTCGGCCTCCTGAGTAGCTGGGACTACAGACACGCGCCACCATGCCCAGCTAATTTTTTGTAGTTTTTTTAGCAGAGACGGGGTTTCACCATGTTGACCAGGATGGTCTCGATCTCTTGACCTTGTGATCCACCCGCCTCAGCCTCCCAAAGTGCTGGGATTACAGGCTTGAGCCACCGCGCCTGGCCCTTACCAAGGGCTTTTACAACATTTTAAGTCTTTAATGTTCACTGTAACAGCCATCCTACAGGTACTGTCCCATTCCACAGATGGCAATAAAATGAAGCAGAGAACTATATTGCCTTTGGTCACAGACCTATCAATTTAAACCCAAGGTCTGTTAACTCATCTGGGCATTAATTGTTTGTAAATTCACACTTCCTAGGTGTAGGAGGCACTGAACACTGGACCAACATTGCTTTCTAGCTAGGCACAGTGACTCAGGCCTGTAATCCCAACACTTTGAGCGGAGGAGGTAGGAGTCCATGAGTTCCAGATCAGCCTGGGCAACATGGGGAAACCTCGTCTCTACAAATTACAAAATTCACCAGGAATGGTGGCATGTAACCGTGGTCCCAGATACTCAGGAGTCTGAAGCAGGAGGATCACTTGAGGCCGGGAGGTCGAGGCTGCAGTGAGCCATGATCGTGCCACTGCACTCCAGCCTGGGCAACAATGAGACCCTGTCTCAAAAAGAAAACAACAGACAATAAACCACTGTTTCCTTTATTCCTTTCTCCAAAATGCTAACTTTTTTTTTCCTGAGAAAGGTTTTATTTTATATCTAATATTGTTTATGAAGGAAAGTGATACCAACAATTCACCGAAGCTGAAAATTTGTCTTCAAAAACTTACTTCCTAATCTAATTTCTCTTACATTAGCAATAGAAAATGGACTAAAAGGCCAGGTGCGGTGGCTCACGCCTGTAATCCCAACACTTTGGAAGACCGAGGCAGGTGGATCACCTGAGGTCAGGAGTTCAAGACCAGCCTGGCCAACATGGTGAAACCTCATCTCTACTAAAAATACAAAAAGTTAGCTGGCATAGTGGCAGTTTCCTGTAATCCCAGCTACTTGGGAAACTGAGGCAGGAGAATCGCTTGAACCCAGGTGGTGGAAGTTGCAGTGAGCCAAGATCGTGCCACTGCACTCCAGCCTGAGCAATAAGAGCAAAACCTCCGTCTCAACAAAACAAAACAATGGACTAAAATATTATGAGACTTCAAGATATGTTTAATACAAAGGCTTTGATGGTTTTGCTTTTCAGTAGCCATTTAGGAATAACTAAAAAACATGTGTGAGATGATTGGTCAATGTTTCAGAACTTCCTGTATTACTAAAACTATAATTCAAAGGTCCTATGAAGTCAGAATTTTGAGTGTTACAGGGGTACCGCTAACGAATAAACTGAACAGCAGAGTTGCAGCCTGTGATTCTGCTGTTTCATCGCCCACCTCCTCCTGGCCCTAAACTAGATAATGGAGACATCTGGTCGCCATGGATACAGGATGGCATCATCTGACCGCATTGGTGCAGACCTTAGCTTCAGATATTCTCAGACCTTTCAAAGGACCACGCATGCCCCTGGCTTAGTAGCTGCTAGGACAACATGAGGGGATTTCCCTTACGGAGTTGTTGATGCTGTTGTTACTGTACACCATTTACTGAATTAATGCACTGAGCATTTCCCATATATTACTTCCTTTCATTCTCTCAAGAACCCTGTAAGGAAATTTTTCATTCTCATTCTCATTTTAGACAATAAAAATCAGATGTTTACAGAGATTCAGCAACGTTCCGTAGGTAACATTTTGTGTTGTTTCTTTTTGAAATAGCATTTCGCTCTTGTTGCCCAGGCTGGAGTGCAATGGCGATCTCAGCTCACTGCAACCTTCACCCCAGAATGGCTGGGACTACCGGTGGGTGCCACCACACCCAGCTAATTTTTTGTACTTTTAGAAGAGACGAGGTTTCACTATGTTAGCCAAGATGGTCTCTATTTCCAGACCTTGTAATTTGCCCGCCTCAGCCTGCCAAAGTGCTGGGATTACTGACGTGAGCCACCGTACCTGGCCTACACTTTTAAATCAAGGTCTGCCTCCAAAAGTTACATTACTTTTTGTTATTTTGAGATGGCCAACATGCTATGTTGCCCAGGTTGGACTCAAACAATCATCTCACTCCAGCCTTCCAAGTAGCTGGGAAGACAGAAGTGTGCCGTATTCTTAAACATCATATAATATTGCCTTTCAGGCTTAAAAAGCAAATAGAATTATTTGTTCATTTGATAGAGCTTTAGTAACATAAGTGGATACACTTAGAGCTAGTCCTCTGCCTTGTTACCATGATAAGCTAGGATAATATAGTTGAGGGGCCTGCGGTGGAGGTTGGAGAGGTCCCGGGATGTTAAATTCTCAACTTCTTCAACTTAGCAACAGGGGGTGGTCCATCCACAGCCTGCTCTCCACCCCCGCTGAAAATCAGTAGTGCGAACGGACTATGGAGGCAAGGGGAAACGTACCTACAAGATTTTCTGTTTTGGTTTTCTTTGGGGTTTCCTTTTTGTCTTTTCTGAACTGAAGGGTGATAGAGAAGGTATGGAAAAAGTTTGAAACCACTGGCAGGTTTCAAACTTACAAGCCATGAGAAGCTCGGGGTAATTTCTGCATTTTCCAAGGTGCAAGGAAGCAGAAGCTGGAGCCGGTCTTCGAGGTGGGAGGCAGGGAGATGTTAGCAGATATGACAAGGAGGGGCTTTGGAAAAGACTTTGTGGGGCCTTGATCCCGAGGAGAGTGAAGGCTGCTGCGGGAGGGATGGGGTGGTGCAGTCGTAGAGCTGGTCAGGACTGGATTGACAGCAGAATGGTAAAGACGCAACTCCTACTGCTCCACCCCAAGCACTTTTAGTTTATAAAAGATGGAGCAACGATTTTATTTTCTCCAGGCATCTCAAATCAGTTACATTTTTTTTAAGACAGGGTCTTGGGAGGGGTGGTGCGCATGCGCGAGCGCAGAGGCCCACCCGCCCCGCCCGCCAAAAAAAAAAAAGAAAGAAAAAAGAAAAAGAAAAAAAGACAGGGTCGTGCTCTATCACCCAGGCTAGAGTGCAGAGGTGCAATCATAGCTCACTTGCAGCCTCGACCTCCTGCGCTCAAGCAATCCTCGTGCCTCAGCCTCATGCCACCACACCTGGCTGGCACACAAATTTCACTAACGTGTACATATGTCCATGAGTCATACAAATTATAAAAACCCTTCTGCTGTAGGGAAAAAATACATATGAAAACTCAAAAAAAAAAAAAAGTGACACAGTTAATACTTTTATATCATTTTTTTTTTTTTTTTAAGACAGAGTCTCACAGTCGCCCAGGCTGGAGTGCAGTGGTGTGATCTCAGTTCACTGCAGCCTCCATCTCCTGGGTTCAGGCAATTCTCCTGCCTCAGCCTCCCATTTGGCTATTTTTTATTTCGTATTTTTAGGAGAGACGGGATTTCGCCATGTTGGCTAGGCTGGTCTTGAACTTCTGGCCTCAAGTGATTTGCCCACCTCATCCTCCAAAAATGCTGGGATTACAGGTGTGAGACACCATGCCCGGCCTCCAAGACGGTTTTCATAGTTGAATTTTGCTGCATCAGATAATCAAGGAAGAAAAGAAACAAGAAGAGAGACTGGGGCCGGGCGCGGTGGCTCAAGCCCGTAATCCCAGCACTTTGGGAGGCCGAGGCGGGTGGATCACGAGGTCAAGAGATCGAGACCATCCTGGTCAACATGGTGAAACCCCGTCTCTACTAAAAATACAAAAAATTAGCTGGGCATGGTGGTGCGTGCCTGTAATCCCAGCTACTCAGGAGGCTGAGGCAGGAGAATTGCCTGAACCCAGGAGGCGGAGGTTGCGGTGAGCCGAGATCCCACCATTGCACTCCAGCCTGGGTAGCATGAGTGAAACTCCGTCTCAAAAAAAAAAAAAAAAAAAAAAGAAGAAGAGAGCCTGTTTCCTATATGTCACAGGGCACACTGTATCCCCTTACACCATTAACCTCTTCACTCACCACATTGCACTATGAGACAGGTGCTGTCATCCTAACTCAATAGATGAGGGAACTGAGGACAAGATGATTTAATAGTGTAGTCACGTAGCTTGCAATTAGCAGGTCAGGATTTGCACCAAGCAGACACAGCCTTTTCCAGCATGTGGGAGAGGTATCTATTCCATACCCATCACTAGGTTCATGGCTGAGACTCCCATCACAAAAGACAGATTAATAACAGAAGAGCATGCAAATGTATTTAACATAAGTTTCACATGATACAGAAGCCTTCCAAAGGCCGACTCAGGACCAGGTTGAGGTGGATCATACCTGTAATCCCAGTGCTTTGGGAGGCCAAGTGGGAGGATCACTTGAGCCCAGGAATTCAAGACTAGCCTGGGCAACCTAGTGAGACCATATCTCTACAAAAAATGTTGAAAAATTAGCTGGTTGTGGTGGTGCACACCTGCAGTCCCAGCTACTTGGGAGGCTGAGGTAGGAGAGGCTGAGGACAATGCAGGAGAGAGTACTACAGATTGGGCCGGGCAAAGTGACTCATGCCTGTAATCCCAGCACTTTGGGAGGCTGAGGCAGGCAAACCACTTGAAGTCAGGAGTTCGAGATCAGCCTGACCAACATAGTGAAACCCTGTCTCTACTAAAAATACATAAATTAGCTGGGTGTGGTGGTGAGCATCTGTATTCCTAGTTACCTATGAGTCTGAGAGAGGAGAATCGCTTGAACCCAGGAGGTGGAGGATGCAGTGAACTGAGATGGTGCACTACATTCCAGCCTGGTGACAGGCTGTGTCTCAAAAAAATAAAAAGTTTCAGACTCTGGAGTATTTCAGATTTCATATAAAATACATTTATTATCTAATGGTAACGAACAACTGGGGGCCAGTAGGGCAAGAGCTGTCTGTTCCGATTCTTCTTGGCCTCTGGGTATAGAGCGGCACCCCTTCTGGCATGAGCATCTATGACCTACTTTGAGCCAAAGATAGGTCAGAGAATTCCCTTATGGCCAGCTCTCACACTGAGTGACCTGCTTGCTCCTTCGGTTTTCTCAATTGCCAAGTCACCGTATTTTAGGGTATCATGTTCTGAGCTCCAACAGATAGACAACATCTACAAAGTCATTGCACAAGTGCCAAGCCAATCAAATCAATAAGCAAACAATTTTAAACATAAAATCAAAGTGACTAAGATGGCAAAAGAGTTTATTTTCTCAAATAATACCAAGTCCAGAGGTAGGACAGGCAATGAATTTACCAAAACCAGCAAGTTCATGACGGTGGGCCATTCTTCTACCCGCCAGCCCCCTCCTTTTTTTTTGAGACAGAGTTTCACTCTTGTTGCCCAGGCTGGAGTGTTAATGCCATGATCTCGGGCACCACAACCTCCGCCTCCCAGGTTCAAGCAATTCTCCTACCTCAGCCTCCTGAGTAGCTGGGATTACAGGCATGCGTCACCATGCCCGGCAAATTTTGTATTTTTAGTAGAGATGGGGTTTCTCCATGTTGGTATGTTGGTCAGACTGGCCTCGAACTCCCAACCTCAGGTGATCCACCCACCTTGGCCTCCCAAAGTGCTGGGATTACAGGTGTGAGCCACAGCACCCGGCCTGTGAGCTAAGTCTTTCTAGGCAAATACTTTCTGTGGTCCCCCGATGGCAGTCACAGTTCCAACATCCCTTGCAGATGACAAAGTCCAAAAGAAAAGGGACATCCCTGACTTGGGTGGGTTTTAAATATCGAGGTAAACTTTCCTTGAACATTCCCATCCGACCTCCCTGCTCATCTCTCTGTCTTATAGACTGGTGAAGATTCAGCCTCCACATTTAGGGAGGGTCTTGGCCACCCCTAAAATTCATGGCTGCATGGAAAGGATCAACAGCACTGGGGTTTAGCAAGCACAACAGGGAGAATGGTTATGAGGAGGGAAACGACAATGTTTGCCACGGGCGTAAAGGCATGCAAAAGGATGGTATGTTCTGGAAATAAGTCGTTGGATATGAAATTGTCAGAAGGCAATAAAATATGCCGCAGCCCAGTTGTAAAGGCATCATAGGCCAATATTTGGCTGCATCCTATGGGTCCATGTTCCTTAAGCTTTTAAAGATAGTGACATATCAAACAATGTTAGGAGATTTTTAGTATTCCTTTTTTATGTGGTAACATATAAAATTTCTTTCAAAAACGAGTACTTAAGGCTAGGTGCAGTGGCTTATGTCTGTAATCCCAGCACTTTGGGAGGCTGAGGAGCGTGGATCGCTTGAGCAAAGGAGTTCCAGGCCAGCCTGGGCAACACAGCAAAAGCCCATTTCTACAAATAATAGAAAATATTAGCTGGGCGTGGTGGCACAGGCCTGTAGCCCAGATAGTCTGGAGGCGGAGGCGGGAAAATCACCTTTTGCAGTGAGCCTGGGTAACAATGAGATCCTGTCTCAAAGGAATTAAAAGAAAAAAAAGGTTCAAAACAAAAATTACACAGCAACATATACAGTAACACTAAAATTATATAATCTAGGCTGGCTGCAGTGGCTCACACCTGTAATCCCAGCACTTTGGGAGGCTGAAGTCGGTGGATCACCTGAGGTCAGGAGTTCGAGACTAGACTGGCCAACATGGTGAAACCCTGTCTCTACGAAAAATACAAAAAAAAAATTAGGCAGGTATGGTGGTGGGCACCTGTAATCCCAGCTACTCAGGAGGCTGAGGCAGGAGAATCCCTTGAGCCTAGGAGGTGGAGGCTGCAGTGAACCAAGATCGCACCACTGCACTCCAGCCTGGACAACAAGAGTGAATCTCCATCGCAAAAAACTATTAATAATAATTATATAATCTAGTCATGTGATAGTAGTGAAGAAATAAGTGTGTATAATTTTTATTTGTACTTTTTAATAATTACAAAAGCAATGCAGGTTCTTTTTTAAAAAATAAAAAAATTCAGAGAAGCCCAAAGAATAAAGTAAAAATTACCCATAATCCCATCACCCGGCTGTAACGACTTGATGTTGGGACCTCACATACACAGTAGTTTGGTTCACAGTTACAATCGTGATTTATTTTTTCCTTTGTAAGGATGCACTTCAAATTTGATTTCTTCTTACCGTACTTTCCTGTCAAACAAAGCAAAACTACTGCTGGTCAGTGTAGGAGGGGGAAAAGCCACAAATGCACACAGTGGCTTCTAAAGTACAATGCATCATATTAGGGAAAGCAGGAAGTATTGTTGCCGTTGTATTTCTGTTGGACCTGCTACTCATACAACTGGTTATCTAAGCCCAAACTCTTTAATGTAAGAAGTAATGCAAATTCTGCCTTTGACAGCAGCGGATTCTTTAGTGTGCTTCTGGCAGGGGAAGGAAGGCGGGAAGGGTTATAAGAACCGGGGCCAAATTTCATCCTGGCGAGTTGCAGCTTTCTTCCTGACAGTGCTTACTGGTCAAGGCACCAGCTTGGTGTCTGACAAACAGACGCCAGCTTGTTTGTGTTGGCACCTCCAGGATAGTTTTGTCTGCACACTGTGCCTCTGAGGGATGGCCTCTACAGTCAGGATGCCAAAATTCTTTAATCTTTCACTTTCATTTTAAAAGTGAAATCTGAAGATCTCTCTATCTAATAGCAAACCACAGCCAGACAAGGTTTTTAATGTCCAGACCTGCCTAGGCAGGAATCCATTATGGTTGCTGTTGATTTGAGTGTTTTGTTTGAAGGGTCCTGTAACTTTATGAACTCTCTTTCACACAAACTTGTTAGTGGCACTCCGTTTCCTCGGTAAACTTTTCGGCTTTTGTTTGCTGCTAGTTTTTAAAAATCTATAGACAGGCAAAAAATCTGCCACTAAAAAGCTGCTTGCTTGACCTTGGAAAAGTCATTTAACCTCTCTGGAGAAAGTTCAAGTTAGAGGGTCAGAGTAGTGGGCTGGAGAGGATCTTAGAGATCAGGGTTCTGCCCTTCCTGTTTACAGATCTGAGATTCAGAGAGGGTGACCCACTGGCCAGAAGTCAAACAGCTTTCTTAAAGTTTTATTATTTTGATTTTTAAGGGAAGAACACCACTGGATTTGAAAATTAAGTAGTGTTTGAAAAGAAAAAGTGCAAGAGATATTGAAGTGTTAAAGGAAACTTTTATAATAACTATCCAAATTCGTTTGTAGAAAGCAAATGTTAACTGTGTAAAATGTGGAGCATTTGATGCACCAAGAAATATTTACTGACTGCCCCCTTGGAACTTGAAAGTTCAGTAGGGAACCAAGAAGATAATGTAATAAGTGCTCTGCCTGATTAAAAACTGCAGTGTTCTCATGAGAACTAACGAGGAAAGGCATTTAGAAGGACGTTCCAGATGTCTTCTTGGAAGAGGTCAAACGTAAGCTCAGACCTGAAGGAAAAACCACAGGAAAGAATATCCCTAAGGAGAAATCGACTGCACATGCAAAGCCAGGGAACTTGATGGGTTGCATACCGAAAGGAAAAGTGGTCAGGAGGACGTCGAATTCCGAGACCTGAATGGTAAGAGGTTCTTTATCCAGAGGGCAGATTTGTAAACTGCAGACTGACAGGACTTGTTGGAGGGTTTCCGCTCTGGCTCTAAGTGTACGCAATAGTTTAGAAACAGGGAAAAGACAGACCCAGTGACATTCATTAGAAAAGTGTTTCTCCAAATATTTTGACCTACAAAATGCATTCTTCCTGTTGCCCACTCTGTACACAGCTCCGGGAACACGCACACACAAACCGAAAGAAGTTTCACAATCTACGCAGGATGTCCACTGCCATTTTCTCCCTAACCTTTTGCATTTTCTAAATGGTAAAACTGCATGACTCATCTCAACTGATTTCACTACCCATTAAGTCACAACTCTGAGTTCGAGAAACCTTGACTTAAGGAAGTTGCTGTGATACTCCAGAAGAGAAGAGTAAAACTGTAGGGTCTAGGGAAGCAGGAAGGGGGCACAGAAGGATGTGGAATGATCCCAGAGGGATTTAAGAGATCGGAGAGAGAAGGACCCAAAGAAGTGCTTACAGATGATGGCGAGTTCTGGCTGGAACTCAGGGCAGACAAAGGGATCGTGTACTGAGATGGGGAACCTTGAGTGAAAGGTGAGGAGGGTAAAGATACCACCCCCTGAGCAAATCCCTTTTTTTTTTTTGTGTGGTTTTTTTTTTTTTTTTTTTTTTTTTTTGTAAATACAAATCTGCTCCTTAATTTGAAGTACATCCCAAGAAAAACATTATGTAACTCCAGAAAATGTTCAAGTTTTATTAAAAGAAGGGAAATGGCAGAAATGGAAAGGAGGGAATCAGTGGAGAGGAGTGGGCTCCAGCACTTAGACACAAGATAACACGTGGAAAGGACGGGCAAGCTTGAAATCCCCAGGGAAACAGACAGCCCTTATCAGACTCACCTGGTGCTTTGCTGCAGCTGCCGGGCTTTTGTAAGCTGGGAACGGGTCATTCAGCAATGATGCTGGCAGGAGTTAGCTTCCTTACACATAAAGGTGGCACCAAATTTGGCATTCACAATCACTACTTCACGAACGTCACAGGCATTTCTTAGGCACTTCTTATATAAATGGAAATACCATTAACTTTCTTCTTCATGCACGCTCTGACGGCACCAGGTCAAAGGGACTTTATTCCTGCCTCTTTTCAGAGCTTCTACAGTCCTCATCCTTCTTCTAAATCTTTAATTTTGCAAAGCCATAGGGAGTGGTGGTAGCCTGTGGCGAGTTGAAGATTTTGAACAATAGGTGTTTCTGAGCCGGGTTTATTGAAAGGGTCTTGTCTGTGTCCTGGGGGAGATTGTAAATGAGATGTCAACAGGAGCTCTTTTGTGTGGACGGCATTCATCCTGAAAGAAAGGAATTCCCTTACTGTGCTAGTATTTAAAGCACATTTGTTGCTGCTTTTGCTAAAACTTTTTATCCAACTGCCGGAGCTAACAGCAATGAATGAGTCACTTGGTGTGACTGTAACTTCCTTCCCTCCTTAGCAAAGCAATGACTCAGTCATTTACATTTAGAAAGGAAGGCTCCTAAGAAGATTTCTTGGATTTTCATCAGCTTGAGCCTCTTTTCTTGACCATCACGTGGGCCTGATCTGTCAGCAATCCTGTTAACCCGGGGTGAGGGGAGTCTAGCCGGGCTGTTTTTCTCACTCCCTGGAAAACTTCTTGCTGTTTTGCTCGTTTCTTTTTTAAATCCAAAGTGAAAGACAAATACAATTTCCTGCCTTAAGCCCTCTTCCTTTCTCTCTCCCTCCCCGCCTTTTTTTTGTAAAGGACAGGCAATTTCAGTTTACTATAATTACCCTGGGCTGAGGTTTGACTAACTCCACCTTTAGATGATAAGGCAACCGTTTTATTACCTCACAGCCAGGTGCCTGAGGGCGACAAGACTTGCCTTTATCTGGTGACCTGACAAGGTTATCAGCAACTGCAAATGGGCTGAACCTCAGCGCAGGGGCCATCAAAATGCTTCCCTCCCCTACATCCATTTCCCAACCCTTTATTGGTAATTCATTTCAATTCAAAGACCAGCTCTAGTTTCTGCAAGTTTTTCCGCATTTCTGCACCTTAGCTCTGTCCTCTTGTGTTCTCTTCGGAACGCAAGCAGCAGTAACAGCGATCTTAATTATGAGCGACCAGCTGCCCCCATGCGCCCATAACACACACAAAGTCTCAACCACAGGCCAGCACACAACCACACAGAAGATATTCGCATCCTCTGCCTTTGTCGATCTGCAGTATTTATAGTTGCTTTTTCAGAGTTGATATTTACTAACATCTTTGACCTAGGATGCTAGAAATTCCTCCAAAATAAAATTATGTTGCTTGTACCTTCTATGATTCCTTTGAAAACTGAAATATAATCCACACCAGGAGGCAGTGACGTGCTTGTCAGAGATAATAAACATATCTAGTGCTCGATCTATTTATTTCTGCAGTTCATAAACTTATTTGTCTACCAACCCAAGTTTATTCTTTAATTCAACCTCTGTTCCATGCACTGTCTCAGTTATCTGTTGGGTGGGAAATGGTTTCCAAAGTGTACCAGACAAAGCTGAAATGAATGAAGAGTGAGTGCTTGCAGACAAACTTTTAGGCCAGTGTCCTGAGCAGCGTCAATCAGCATGGCACCCAGCTTGGACCTAGCATGGAGCTGCCCTCCTGTCAGTGCAATTCTAGTGGGCCAGAGTAAACAAAGTCAGTTTGTTTTATTCATTTAGTTAGAGACGGAGTCTCACACTGCAGCTCAGGCTGGAGTGCAATGGCGTGATCTCCGCTCACTGCAACCTCTGCCACCGGGTTCAAGCGATTCTCCAGCCTCTGGATTAGTTGGGATTACAGGTGCCCACCCCACATCCGGCTAATTTTTGTATTTTTAGTAGAGACGGGGCTTCGCCATGTTGGCCAGGCTGGTCTCAACTCCTGCAGGTGATCTGCCCTCCTCCGACTCCCAAAATGCTTGGATTATTTATTTTGAGGTCTGTGAAGTCAGACTGTAGCCTGAGGGTAGCGGATGGGAAAGGAGGAGTGGGGAAGAGAATAATGGAAAAGATAAGCTAAGACGCACACTCGCACGTGCGCACACACACACACACACACACACATCCTTGCACACAATGTTGCAAATGTGAAGTGTTACCTGTAAGACCACATCAGATTACTCCATTCCAGGCCAGAACCAGTGGCTCACACCTGCACTTTGGGAGGCTGAGGCAGGTCGATTGCTTGAGGTCAGGACTTCGAGACCAGCCTGATCAGCATGGTGAAACCCCCATCTCTACTAAAAATACAAAAAATAGCCAGGCATGGTGCTGGGGACCTGTAATTCCACCTACTTGGGAACCTGAGGCAGGAGAATTGCTTTAACCTGGGAGGTGGATGTCTCAGTGGGCCGAGATCATATCACTGCACTCCATCCTGAGCAAGAGGGTGAGACTCAAAAAAAAAAGGATTACTCCATTCTGTAATGTATATAGACATCATTACACACTGTGGAAAGAAAGAGTTCAAATCCCCTACTAGGGCCCTTATTACCATTATAATAAAAACAAATAAAAAGAATGTTTCTGGCCAGACACGTTGGCTCACGCCTGTAATCCCAGCACTTTAGGGAGCTGAGGTGGGTGGATCACCTGAGGTCAGGAGTTTGAGACCAACCTGGCCAACATGGTGAAACCCCACCTCTCCTAATAATACAAAAATTAGCTGGGCGTGGTGGGCACACCTGTAATTCCAGCTACTCAGGAGGCTGAGGCAGGAGAATTACTTGAACCCAGGAGGCGGAGGTTGCAGTAAGCCGGGATTGTACCATTGTACTCCAGCCTGGGCAACAAGAGAGTAACTCTGTCTCGAAAAACAAAAACAAAGAATTTCTGAATCACACGCATGGTGATAAACTAATGAACACCCAGAACTCAAAGCTCTCTGAAAGGAGACAATATCAGAAATATTAAGAAATCTGACCTGGGCAACACAGTGACACCCTGTCTTTCCAAAAAGTTTTTTAAAAATTACCTGGATGTGGTGATGTGCGCTTGTGGCTCCAGCTACTCCAGAGGCTGAAGGGGGAGGATCGATTGAGCCCAGGAATTAGAGGATGCAATGAGCTGTTATCACGACACTGCACTCTAGCCCAGGCAACAGAGTGAGACCCTGTCTCTTAAAAAAAAAAAAAAAATTGACGGGGTCCAGTGGCTCATGCCTGTAATCCCAGCACTTTGGGAGGCTGAGGCAGGCGGATCACGAGGTCCCCTTTTAGTAGGACAGGGTTTCACCATCCTAGCCCACATGGTAAAACCCCGTCTCTATTAAAAATACAAAATTTAGCTGGGTGTGGTGGCATGTGCCTGTAATCCCAGCTACTCAGGAGGCTGGGGCAGAAGAATAGTTTGAACCCGGGAGGCAGAGGTTGCAGTGAGCTGAGATCACACCACTGCACTCCAGCCTGGCAACAGAGCGAGACTCCTTCTCAAAAAAAAAAAAAAGAAAAGAAATACACACACACACACACACACACACATACAATATATGTATGTATACAGACACTACCTTTCTGTTAGGTATTTGTCATTTGCCAAAACTAAATAAAAACAACCTGTGAGGTCAGTACTAAAATCTATACCAATTTACTCCCCCATCCTCCTCCTCATTCGTTGAGTGTTTAATAAAGCCAGCCGCTTTATCATTAAATTCTAAACCCGGCAGAAAGGTAGTATTTTAAATGCAGTCTTTGCCAGACACGGTGGCTCATGCCTGTAATCTCAGAACTTTGGGAGGCAAAGGTGGGTGGATCACTTGAGGTCAGGAGTTTGAGACCAGCCTGGCCAACATGGTGAAACCCCATCTCTACCAAAAAGACAAACATTAGCCGGGTGTGGTGGCGCACGCCTGCAGTCTCAGCTACTCAGGAGGCTGAGGCAGAAGGTTGCAGTGAGCCAAGATCACGCCGCTGCACAACTGCCTGGACGACAGATCGAGACTCTGTCTCAAATACATAAACAGATAAATAAATAAATGCCATCTTTAAGGGACACTTAAAGAGTAATGGAGGGGAAGGAGCCCTGGGGCCACGGGCATAAGTTCTTCTCTGAATCTGTGTCCTTCTCTATCGGTGACAAAGTTGGATAATGAATGAGGCATAATTTTTTAAATCACTAAGCCTGCTATCTGAGCATCAATAAGGAGTTGGTATCCTTTTTGGGCCAAGTGGGCTGATGTAAACAGTATTACACAGGTTAACCCGGATACCTTTTTCTGGTTTCCCTTTGAAAATGGGGATTTGGGGAGGGCAGAGGAAAGGAGAAGGATGAACAATTAAGTGCCTAACTACACAGACCAGGGCGGCCTGCAGCCTCCCACATGCAGCTTTCCAGATCCAGGTGATGATCCTCTTCATGCTGACACCAACAGGAAGGAATGGTGGACGTATCTTCTTTCTACTTCACCTCCCCACGCATCCTGTTTCCCAGGTTTGGAGGTCTGAGCTGGCCTTGTGCAAAAGCTCCTGTGCGAAGTCAAGTCCTGACTCCAGATCCTCTGTTCCTAGGGCGGCCGCAGCAGTGGGCTGCTTTGATGGAGGGTTAGCCTTTTCTCCAAAGCCCCGCAAGCCTGCCAGTGAACCAAGGCTACTGATGGGTCTACGCTGAAGTCTCGCTGAGGACTCAGCCTGACCAGACTCATTGGATGGGATGGACCTTGGCTCATACACAGGCCACTTGCTCTGCACAAGCACCCCACCTTTTTTTTGAGACGGAGGAGTCTTGCTCTGTCACCAGGCTGGAGTGCAGTGGCAAGATCTTGGCTCACTGCAACCTCCACTTCCCGGGTTCAAATGATTCTCCTGCCTCAGCTTCCTGAGTAGCTGGGACTACAGGCGCATGCCACCACGCTCAGCTGTTTTTTGTATTTTTAGTAGAGACGGGGTTTCACCATGTTGGCCAGGATGGTCTGGATCTCTTGACCTCATGATCCACCCACCTCGGCCTCCTAAAGTGCTGGGATTACAGGCGTGAGCCACAGTGCCCCGCCCTGCTACCCCACTTTCTGAAGTGAGACGAATTGGCAGTAAGTGAGTGATACCCTGTTCCCATCTAGAAACAACCAGCTACCCCACAGCCCCAAGGTCAGGGATGCTCAAGTGCTATTTATTCTGTTTCCCAGACATACAGCAGCTGGGCAGGGAGTCCGAGTAGGCTGCTGCGTCATGTGGTTCCATTCCAGATTTTTCCTTTTATTCCTCTCTCCAAGGCCCCATTGTGCAGATGCTAGTAATTCTCATGAAATGATACCAGGAGGTAAAGAAAGTTCCCTGGCTCCTCAGATATCCATCTGTATGCAAGCAGACAGCACAGAAAAATCAGTCAAAGAATAACAAGGTTCCTAGTTCTGTGTGGGCTGAGCAAGGACAACAACAAAAAAAGAGTAGCAAGGAGTGAAAAGTACTAAGAAGAAAAACAGCTGCACAGGAAAAGGGCAGTGAGTGTCACGGGTGCCTCCCACTGTCCTTTTGCCGAGGGCCTGTGGGTGAGGACAAGCAGGGAGATTGGGAGCCATCAGGTGCATGACCCAAGGGACTAGCTGATGTCAGAGTCCAGTAGATTAGGATTTGGCCCGCTGGATCCCTGTCAAACACTGGCCAATCATAACTGCACTTAGCCAACCCCAAACACGAGGGGGCCCTGGTGACAAGACATGACACTGCACCATCAGAGGTCACAGCAAGTGGCTTTGCTGAGGTGTCCACTTTACTCCTGCCCCAATGACCTCCCTTTCCTGATTGTTAGTCCCTTTCTTTCTCCAGGAAGTCCCTTCTCATCCCTGCTCATACCTTCATGTAACAAGCATTTATCATGCTAGTACTGTGAGCCACGCTTGTGCTGTGGTTACATCTGTGGATCAGACAGACAACAGTGCCTGACCTTGTCATTCTTCCATCCCTTAATTCCTTCCTTTCTCTCAGTCTGGCCAGAAAAAAAAAAGTTCTCCTAACAGAGAATATAGGAACATACTGCTGAAGAGTGACAGCCGACAAGAAATGAAAGCTGAATGATGAAAGATTAAAAAGAAAATTGTCAGGCCGAGCTCGGTGGCTCAAGCCTGTAATCCCAGCACTTTGGGAGGCCAAGGCGGGAGGATCATGAGGTCAGGAGTTCAAGATCAGCCTGGCCAAATAGTGAAACCCCATCTCTACTAAAAATACAAAAACTAGCCAGGTGTGGTGGCGGGTGTCTGTAATCCCAGCTACTCAAGAGTCTGAGAGGCAGGAGAATCGCTTGAGCCCAGGAGGCAGAGGTTGCAGTGAGCCAAGATTGCACCACTGCACTCCAGCCTGGGTGACAGAGCAAGACTTGGTCTCAAAAAAAAAAAAAAAAAAAAGAAAAAAAGAAAAATGTCCTTCCCTGCTCCTGTCACCGGTCCGCCCGCCCTAGCCTGCTGGGCATGCTGTCTCTCAACAAGACCAGGTCTGCCCCAACCTGAGGTGCTGCTAGACCAGCTGCCCAAACAGGAAACCTTATATAATTCTGTAACCCTGACCTTGGGCCCTGAATCTTCCCTTTCTGTAAACAGTCCATTCAACCCAGGAAGACCTGCAGACCTGGCTGGGACACATTTTGAAAAACACACACATTGTTTAAAATGTTGAAAAAAAGTCCCTAGGTCTAAGAGGAAGTGATCTGTCTGACTCAACAGTAGAAATCACTTCATATAAAGTAATGGAACAAATGGAAATTTAATCCTAACAGATGTAACTGCCAGGGCAGTCACTTGTGTACATGGATGACTTGATTGCACCTGTTGGAAAAGCAGAGAAAAATGAGCCGTGAAATCTTGATCACATACCCTACTGGAAGCAACACCCCGTCCTTGCAAATTAGTAAGCCTGACGCTCTCAACTTCCTGGCTTCAACACGTGTGCCCTAGTTCTGTGCAGGTTATGACTCACCTGTGCTACTGCTCAAATGATTCTTACTCAGAGCCTTCGGTCTTTCATCTTCAGTGTTAAGTGGTCTAGGCACCTACTAGCCAAATGTCTACTTACTTTTTTTCTTTCTCATGCCTGTTTCCCAGTCTGTGATCTTTCAAGGTATTTCCTTGAGGCCAGGCATGGTGGGTCAGGTCTGTAATCCCAGCACTTTGGAAGGCCAAGGCGGGCGGATCACCTGAGGTCAGGAGTTCGAGACCAGCCTGCAAACATGGAGAAACTCTGTCTCTACTAAAAATACAAAATTAGCTGGGCGTGGTGGCGCATGCCTGTAAGCCCAGCTACTCGAGAGTTTGAGGCAGGAGAAATGCTTGAACCTGGGAGGAGAGGTTGTGGTGAGCCGAGATCGCACCACTGCACTCCAGCTTCGGCAACAAGAGCAAAACTCTGTCTCAAAAAAAAAAAAAAAAGACATTCCCTTGAAATGACTGATTTCAGGCAACAACTGGAATTACATATGGTAGCCTTCAACTTCTTATTTAACTTATTGCCAAACTTCAATAAAAGTCCAGATTAGAAGTTTTAGACCTCAGCCTCTGGCCCTGGGCCTTCTGAAATGATCTTCCAAACACCATTTGATTTCCGCTAATTTAGTTAATGAATGGAACTTTCTGAAGGGAGCAGTTACTTTGATCTGAACCCCCTTCCTAGGTTCCAGTTCACATGGCCAGAGGGAGACAGAACAGGCGCCCTCTCCTCCTGCCCCTCCCCTCCTGCGTGGCCAGAGCAACCAGCTGCAATCATTCCTCTAAAACAGAGACAGCCGCAGAAAGCAGTTCCCAAAAGGAAGAAGGCAGGTTACAAATACTACTGTTGGCATTTTCATGGGTGTTTCCCCCACACAGAGATAAAAGCGTTGAGGTGAGGCTTTGAGGCACACTCTCTGGGTAGCTGGGCCTGCAGTCTGGAAATCCCAAGTAATCCTCGAAATAGGCTAACTGGAAGCCAGCAATACAAATTAGAAGTGCTTCTGGCCTGAGAGAAAGGTGTCTGCATTCAAAGGACAATTTCAGATAAAAATGGAAAATGCCAGTTCCACCCTGCAGGAATTCTCAGTTTCCAGGCTGTTTATCCTCACTGCCGTCAGTCCTACTCTTGTCTGTGACTGGGATGTGATGAAAGAGATCGCGTGGAAAAGGCTACTGCAGTTCTTGCTCTGTGTAACTCACCGCCTTAAAAAACATGGCCTTGGCTGCTGCTTTAAAACAACGGCCGGGCCGCGGTGGCTCACGCCTGTAATCCTAGCACTTTGGGAGGCCGAGGTGGGTGGATCACCTGAGGTCAGGAGTTCAAGACCAGCCTGGCCATCATGGTGAAACCCCCATCTTTAAAAACAACAACAACAACGAGGCCGGGCGCGGTGGCTCACGCCTGTAATCCCAGCACTTTGGGAGGCCGCAGCGGGTGGATCATGAAGTCAGCAGATCGAGACCAGCTTGGCTAACATGGTGAAACCCTGTCTCTACTAAAAATACAAAAAATTAGCCGGGCGTGGTGGCACGCGCCTGTAGTCCCAGCTACTCGGGAGGCTGAGGCAGGAGAACCGCTTGAACCCGGGAGGTGGAGGTTGCAGTGAGCCGAGATCGCGCCACTGCACTCCAGCCCGCCGACAGGGCGAGACACGCAGAAAAAAAACCAAAACGAAAATCCCGAGCCCCAACCCAGAGATTTAACCCTGCAGCTAAGGGGAAGTTTTTGTTAAGGTGATAAGGTGAAAAACCAAGCCATTATGGGGCATGACTTCCACTGTTAAGCTTTCGGAAGACAAGTCCCGCAAAGACCTCCAACCCCTTCCAGCGCGCGACTTACCCTCTTAGCTGAGCCGCAGCTTGCAAAATACGGAAGTGATGTCCAGGTTTGGCCACAAGGGGACACTCGAGAGTAGGACTGCCCGCGGCAATGCTTTGTTTCTCCACTGACTTTTGGTTGGGAGGGAGGGAGGGAGGTGTGGGAGTGGTGGGGAAGATGCTGGCTTAAAAGAAAAAAGTCCATTTGTTCCCTGAAATTGTGCCACTTGCCCTTTTATAAGTTAAAGGTTGCCACGTTACCTGTTGCCAGGTTCCTGAGAGTGCTTGGGGAAAATGTGGGCGAGAGAGGCACAGCACAGTCCTTCGGCTTGGTAGGTTTCAAGCTCTTTAGACTGAGCTGGCGCTGACATTTGCAGGGCAGCCGCTGTGGATTGCCTGCGCATTGTTTGGTTGTAGTTCTAACAGAGGAGTGGCTGCTGTCTGACATCATTTCCAGGCATCAAGTGCCTGGGGCTTTTTTTTTTTTTTTTTTTTTTCTGTAATGACTCTAACTTTCTGATCCCTCCCTGCCTGGATTTTTATACAGTAGATGCACTGTGCAAAACAGCCTCCACTCAGGAAACCCAAGTTTTGAAGCAACGTCTTAAAACAACTTGGGTGCCTCTTTAAAAAAATAAAGTTGTGACTTTGAAACAAACCTTTCCATTCTTCCTCCTTTCCGAGAACAATGTCGTGTTTGATCAGCAGCGCAGCCAGGGCTTTCTGAAAGATCTGCTCTCCCCAGAAGAGGCGGCTGCTATCAGTTGAATAGATCTCTAAGCCAGACATGCCGAGGCTTGGGGCATTTGTCTGGCATTAGGAAGTGTCTGGAATACCAGAAACTACCAACTGGCATGTCTTAGGACTACAGGAATTATTGCACTCCCCTCCATCCCTCGTCCACTCCCCCTCTCCTCCCCATACACACACAAGCATACTTTTTTTTACTTTAAGAAAAGTTGAGCGCGTCATCTTTGTGGTTTCCGTGGAGGATGTAACTGGGAGAGAAGACTGGAATGCCCTGAGCCTCCGAGGGTGGGGCGAGGATCCTGGCGTATGCCCCACCCCAACAGCCTCTGATCTCTGCCTTCTCCTCGCTGACCGCTACACTTTGGGTGGCCTGGAAATGTGAAGCTGTAAATATTTTGAAATAAGGTAGTGATTTTTCCACGTGCACTTCGTTTTGTGGCATTTCTCTCCTTCTTCAATGTTTTAAAAGTTGCAGTGGTGCACCCCTTGTTGACCACTCCAAATTCATTCATTCACTGAACCTCTGGTGAGTTCTTGCAGAGTGAGGAGGGCCGTGCATGAAGGAGTCTCTGGTGGAAAGCATGGTGCATTAGTGGAGGAGGTGTTTAACAGAAAGTGTTTGCTGGCGTGGTGGGGGCGGTAAATAAAGGTGGTTTGGGTTAATGGTCAGATGGGATTTGGAGCCCTGAGTACTCTTAACTCTGTTGCTGAATCTCTAGATGGGTTAGGGATGTCCGTTGCCTGCTCTGAGCGTTACATTTTCATCAGTCAAGTGGGGATAGTGGGATCTTTCTCATATGTGAGATCATGTCTATTTTTTTTTTTTTTTTGTATTTATTTTTACTCCCAAGCTCAAGTGATCCTCCCACCTCAGCCTACAGAGTAGCTGGGACTTCAGGTGTGCACCACCATGACCAGCTAGTTTATTGTTCTTGTTTAGGGTTTTGTTTTTGGGTTTGGTTTTGTTTTGTTTTGTTTTTGAGACAGAGTTTCACTCTTGCTGCTCAGGCTGGAGTGCAATAGCACGATCTTGGCTCACCACAACCATCACCCCCCAGGTTCAAGGGATTTTCCTGCTTCAGCCTCCCAAGTAGCTGTGATTACAGGCATGCATCACCATGCCAGGCTAATTTTGTATTTTTAGTAGAGATGGGGACGGGGTTTTTCCAGGTTGGTCAGGCTGGTCTCGAACTCTTGACCTCAGGTGATCTGCCTGCTTCAGCCTCCCAAAGTGCTGGGATTACAGGTGTGAGCCACCACTCCCGCCACTGTTTGAATTTCTTTGAGAGAAGGTCTCACTCTGTTGCCCAGGCTGGTATTGAACTCCTAGGCTAAAGTGATCCTCATGCCTCAGCCTCCCAAAGTGCTGGCATTACAGGTATGAGCCACCACACCCAGCCCCCATGTCCATTAAGTTCTTAGCACAAAGTAAGGATTTGCTGTCTGGCGATTAGGAAGATCTAATGGCATGTCACAGGTGTGGACTAAGTCTCATCTCATCATCTATGTTGTTGCCCGGGTTTGTGCTTTTTTCCCGGTGAAGAACTCCAGCCAGACTGCTGATTTGTCTGGCATTTGTTGGAGAGTCCGGCTTGCATAACACATCACCACCAGGAGCAGGAGCCCCACGATGCACTGTTAAGTGCACCACTCTGGGGTCTACCCGGCTGGAAGCAGCAGCAGTAGACTTGTCTATTAGTCATTTTGTCCTCATCAGTGCCAGATGCTTTCCCAAGATGCCAGAACATTCACCATTGCTACCAGACAGCCTCGCTGGACCTCTTTCTCTGGCCTCCTTTTTTGGCTTCTTTCTTCAGCTGTTTAGCATCACTCTCTGTGGGACACCCCCCCCGCCACTTTGCAAATTCTTGTCTAGGTTTCACTTGTTAGCATAAGCCATAAAAGCTCCAGTTTGAAAGAAATTTTGTCATCTAGTCCAGCCCCCATCAGATGCTGGTACAATTGCTGTACCTTCCCAGCCAAAACATGCACTGGCCTCTGCTTGAACAGGTTCAGGGACTGAGAACTCCCTCTGCTATGAGGTCCTCATATTCCATCTATGGACAATCAATGACTGGAGAATTATTCTTTTTTTTTTTTCTTTTTGAGATGGAGTCTTGCTCTGTCACCCAGGCTGGAGTGCAGTGGCTCGATGTTGGCTCACTGCAAACTCCACCTCCTGGGTTCAAGCACTTCTCCTCCCTCAGCCTATGAGTAGCTGGGACTACAGGCCCGTGCCACCATGCTCAGATAAATTTTTTTGTATTTTTAATATTTTAGCAATGGGGTTTCACTGTGTTGGTCAGGCTGACCTTTCGAGCTGCCTGCCTTGGTCTCCCAAAATGCTGGGATTACAGGTGTGAGCCACCACACCCGACAGAATTATTCTTGATGCCTCTCTGAGCTCTTACCTTTGTTGTTCCTTTGGGGACTTATACAAATACAAATGCCATCCTCTAAGCAAGAGCCCTCCAAATAATTGAAAACCCCTCTTTCTTCTCTTACAAATGAAATACCATGTCTTTTTTTTTTTTTTTTTTTTTTAAAGATGGGGTTTCACCATATTGGTCAGACTGGTCTCGAACTCCTGACCTCAGGTGATCCGCCCACCTCAGCCTCCCAAAGTGCTGAGATTACAGGCGTGAGCCACCGCGCCCAGCTCCATGTCTTTCTTTTTGACGGAGTCTTGCCCTGTCGCCAGGCTGGAGAGCAGTGGCACCATCTCGGCTCACTGCAACCTCTACCTCCTGGGTTCAAGCAGTTCTCCTGCTTCAGCCTCTGAGTAGCTGGGATTACCCGCATGTGCCACCATGCCCAGCTAATTTTTGTGTTTTTAGTAGAGACGAGATTTCACCATGTTGGGCAGGCTGGTCTCGAGCTCCTGACCTCAGGTGATCTGGTGGCCCCAGCCTTCCAAAATGCTGGGATTACAGGTATGAGCCACGGTGCCTGACCCTACACTCAATTTTCATAGCATATGTTACCATGCACTGTGACACAGTTTGCTAACGGGCACTACTCTGCAGAGCAGGCTTTGAATAATCCAGCTCTGCACACAGAGGGGTGCTGGAAATGCTTAACAACGGGCTCTCTGATTGCAGAAAATCAGCAGGGGCAAACCTGCTGTTTTCAGGCATTTGCTGATCTCCATGGTGTAAATACACGAAGGTCAATTTCAAGCCAACAGTGTAAAGTAACTGAATACAGAGGTAGAAAGAGATGTGCACAATCGATTTAACAAGGTGAAAAGAGCCAGCTCCAACATGCTTCTGTCAACCCCATTAGATTTTTAAAAATATTTTTAATAAAGCCCTTCTGGCAGGGCATGGTGGCTCACGCACGTAATCCCAACACTTTGGGAGGCCAACGCAGCTGGATCACCTGAGGTCAGGAGTTTGAGACCAGCCTGACCAACATGGCGAAACCCTGTCTCTATTAAATACAAAAAAAATTAACCAGTTGTGGTGGCACATGCCTGTAATCCCAGCTACTCAGAGGCTGAAGCAAGAGAATTGCTTGAACCCGGGAGGCGGAGGTTGCAGTGAGCCGAGATTGTGCCACTGCACTCCAGCCTGGCAACAAGAGGGAAATTCTGTCTCATAAATAAATGAAGCCCTTCTTTTTGAGGGCTTGTTGAACAATTGCTGAGCAGCTGGGCCAAATCAAGAACTTTGCCCTCAGCAGATTTTCGACAGTGGATCCAAGACAGCCCTTCTTTCTGATAGTCTTCAGCTCAGTAAGAAGGGGCCATCTGATAGAACTCACAGCATATCCAGGGTTGCTTTCCCTATGAGTTCCGGATAGGCGCTGCCATTTCTCAAGGCTGATCAAATCACAGCTTGCTTGATAATAGTTGTGCTTAGTAACAATATCTTAGGGTAACAACATGTTTACAACAAAAAGATATTGTTTGACTCTGGCACATCTGCATCTATATCCATATATCTATACGTTTAATTACGTTGTGGTATTGTGTTTTTATTTGTGGTTCCTTATGACTTGCTCTCTCATATTTTAAAGAATTTCTGAAATGCAGTAATCAGGAACTGCTAAATAGTTTCTCTACATAGCTTTATGGTTTATGATCCATTAGTTTAGCTGGTAAGAGTTTATCAATAAAAATGCACAAAGAGAGAGTTTGATCCCACATCTGTTTCGTAGCCACCTAACACTTGTGTGCTGTTAAACACGCAGGATAACTAGAGTGGCCAGAGAGTCTGGATCATTTGCCAGGACACCTTCACCACTACAGAATAAAATAATTTCTGGCCCAGGCCTTCCTGAAGATTGCAACACTTGCATTATCTTTTTTTTTTTTTTTTTTTTCAGACAGAGTTTTGCTCTGTTGCCCAGGCTAGAGTGCAGTGACACAATCTCTGCTCCCTGCAAACTCTGTCTCCCCGATTCAAGCAATTCTCCTGCCTTAGCTTCTTAGGTAACTGGGATTACAGGCACCTGCCACCACACACAGCTAATTTGTTTTTTTAGTAGAGACGGGGTTTCACCATATTGGCCAGGCTGGTTTCGAACTCCTGAGCTCAAGAGATCCACCCACCTTGGCATCCCAAAGTGCTAGGATTACAGGCATGAGCTACTACAACCAGCCACGTTATCTTTCAATATAAATGTAGGCAATCATGAGCTAGAAGCTGAAATGATTGGAATGTACTATTTGTTTTCTCTGTAATGTCTTTCTTAAAAAAATATAATTTCTTAAGTGTAAATACCAACCTCTGGTCTCTCTGTTCGCTATAGTATCCACTGAATGAAAATGTCACTGAAATCTGCAGCTCTGGTTCTGCAACTCTCTTCTAAAGGGATGGGAGTCCTTTCAGCCAGATGAGGAAAAAAAATCATTTCATTTGAAATGAACAATAAGCCGGGCATGGTGGCTCAAGCCTGTAATCCCAGCACTTTGGGAGGCCGAGGCGGGTGGATCACGAGGTCAAGAGATCGAGACCATCCTGGTCAACATGGTGAAACCCCGTCTCTACTAAAAATACAAAACATTAGCTGGGCATGGTGGCGCGTGCCTGTAATCCCAGCTACTCAGGAGGTTGAGGCAGGAGAATTGCCTGAGCCCAGGAGGCGGAGGTTGCGATGAGCCGAGATCGCGCCATTGCACTCCAGCCTGGGTAACAAGCGTGAAACTCTGTCTCAAAAAAAAATCGGGGCAAAGGAAAGTAGTAATAGTGATAAAAATACAGCATCATTTCTTTTTTTCAAGTTCCACTTACATTTTAAATATCATTCTTTTTGAGAACCTCACTCT